GATTTCTTCAGTGATGGCTCCCTCAGGATTTGGCCAATATCTGGTGTTTGTGTCCAAATGATAGATCTGACTTGTAGATTTTTTAATATATAACTGGTCTCGTGTCGTAAATAAATTATTAAAAGGCACCATAGAGGTGCGTAATGAAACAAATTTTAAAGATGATATTAAAAGTATGGCATGCGAATATTTAAAAAAAAGAAATAAAAACAATTGATTTGTAAAATTGTTCTTTATTTATTCTAACCAACTGTGTTATAGCTACAGTTTTAGACAATTATCAGAAAAATCTGTGTAAATGAATAGTAGATAAATTATCTAATAATGTAGGTTTAACACAGTATGGTAATTCCTTTTTTCATTTTAATAGTCGCATCTAAAGTGCCGGTACCGGTTCAGCAGTACATGACTTGTGATTATGTCGTAAATCGCTAGATGGCGCTGTTTGCACAGGTTAACTGACATTTCTATTATTGAACTCTATGGTCGCTGGCGGTTGTCGTTCTCGGGTTTTTGTTTAATTTTGTGTTTTTGTTTCCCGAGCTGTTCAAAAGCTGAAAGTAAGACGTTGAGTTGAGTTTTTTTTCCTCCGTCCAAGTTGTTAGTGAAACTGTGATTGCGATACGGACGCTATTATATAAGTGTTAACAAAACAACATTATGCCGGGCCAACATTGTGTGATATGCGTTCGTGGATATGTTACTGGTTAGTATTTATTTAATTACTTTAACGGTTTGTATGATAAGCTAATTTCCAAAACTTTTCATCACTTTTACAAACTTACGCTGTACCAACCAAATCGTTTTTCATAAACATAGTACAACATTTGTGAATGTGGCTCATCTTTGGAGAATTTTCAAGATTAATGTGTTGTTTTAATGATATATTACCAACCGTGTACCAACCTTAATAAGATAGGACTGACTATAATGTCGTATACATACGACAAAAGTCCAATTTTTATAAAAACAATAAAATTTTCCTGAATGATTGTTTTTATAATCTTAGTGTAAATTTCGATCTCCTATATATATGTTTTACACACTTACAGAGATAAAGATACCTCATTTACTTGCAAACGAGAATAACAAATCTTATTACTTTTCAGGTGTAACAGTACACATTTTTCCAAATCCAAATAAATTCCCGGAGCGTTTTAAGGAATGGGTAAAAATTATCGGAGGAAAACTGGAAACGCCATCTGATTATGAATTTTATAAAAAGAAGAGGATTTGTGATGTGCATTTTATAGATCAACATAAAACAAGCTGTCATCGCCTTAGTGCTTTAGCAATTCCTTCTCTTTATTTGCCTGGTAAGTTACAACTTGTGTTTTACTAGGGCTAGTGTCGAAAATACATCATGATTTCATCGTTTAAAATACATAGACCCGATCAGGGTCTATTAGTTGAATTGTATCAAGTTGTTTATTAACATTATTGTGATTGTTGTGTATGCTTATAATTGGTCTGCATATAAGAAAACTGTATAGTATCCGAGCCATTCATTAATGTATGAATATGTGTGACTGTTTAATAATACAAATAAATGTTTTTATAATATATTTTCATTTGAAATAATATATCTTCCAAATGGTATTAGAATTATTCAAATAATATTAATGGTTCAAAAGAGTATATAAAATTAAAATAGATTTATGATTAACTCTACTGACATGGTATCTTCGTAACATTACATTCTCGCCAGATATTCAGCAAAGATCTCCATTTATTGCTAACACATCAATGTCTATTCCAAATCAATCAGGTTTGTCTTTATTTATATACTAATAAACAGACAAACTATTAAAGTATGACTAAAACTTAAAATCAATTTGCCATACATAAATTTTATTGAAAAAAATACAAATCAAGAGTATATAGTAATTAATCTACTCTTAAATTTAAATTATTTTTTAAAATTTTAAATGTTAAAACCTAATATTTGTTTCTTAGATTTTCACGCACATCACTCATTAAATAAAACTAGTTTTTTACGGGTTAATGCATGAAACTTTATTTATTTATTGACGTTAGGGGGACCAAACCATTACATTAGATTTGATAAACCACAGATCCTTGCAACTGAGCAACGATTCGTTTCTAGAATGATACGTGAGGCTATTGAGATTAAAAAATATCCAAATTTCAATAGGGAAGAAGCCTTTACAGGCTGAGAAACATCAATAAATAAATAAAGTTTCGTGCATTAACCCGTAAAAAACTAGTTTTATTGAAACCTAATGTTTTTTTTGGACATTTTTTTTTTGTTTTTATGCTTTTGTGATACATCATACTAAAATACATACAACCCTACATTTTCACCCCTACCACCAACCCCTACACACAACACTTAGTAATTACATAAAATGAAATTTCACAGGAGCTGTATAAAACTGCATTGAATACCTCCAGTGAGCTTTTGGCATGGTTTTTAATTTATAAATTTAGTAATTTCAACACTGTTTTAGTCGGTTTTGATTGAAAATTATTTAAGATTCAATTTTTCTGCATTTTTGTATTTTTCAGACTTCTTCAGGTTCTATGCACGAGAGACTTGGTAATTATGTGCATTTTGATAAATAAAGTCCACACTTGATAAACGATGATGATGACGAGTTAAAATAAAAGCAATAGATAATACTTTAAGGCTTATTTTTTTATTTTAATAGTTTCCTAATTTTTGGTCATTTTCAGATTTGTAATCATGTGGGTTTTGTGTAACACCCAATTATATATTTTTTTAGTACCTATCATAACACGAGCCTTGATAAAGAATGAGCGCAAATACTGCATTATAAATATTTCATCCTGCAATTATGTCTGCTCGGAACCCTTTTTACCCCCTTTAAAGTGGATTTCTAGGATAAAAATAATACCATGTTCTTTCCCGGGACTGAAACTATCCCATGTTCTTTCCCGGGATTCAACTATCCTGTGCCCTTTCCTGGGATTTGAACTAACCCATGTCCTTTCCCGGGACTGAAACTATCTCATATCCTTTCCCGGGATTCAACTATCCTGTGCCCTTGTCTGGGATTTGAACTATCCCATGTCCATTCCCAGGACTCAAGCTATGCCATGTACTTTCCCGGGATTCAAACCATCTCATATCCTTTCCCGGGACTGAATATATCCCACGTCCTTGACCGGGACTCAACTATCCTGTGCCCTTCCCTGGGATTTGAACTATCCCATGTCCATTCCCGGGACTCAACCTATGCCATGTGCTTTCCCGGGATTCAAACTATCTCATAGCCTTTCCCGGGACTGTAACTATCCCACGTCCTTTTCTGGGATTTGAACTATCCCATGTCCATTCCCGGGACTCTAACTATGCCATGTGCTTTCCCGGGATTCAAACTAGTCCATGTCCTTTCCCGGGACTGAAACTATCCCACGTCCTTTTCCGGGACTGAAACTAGTCCATGTCCTTTCCCGGGACTCAAATTATCCCATGTCCTTTCCCGGGACTCAAAACATCCCATGTCCTTTCCCGGACTAATAACATACCCATGTCCCATCCCGGGACCAAACTATCTGTATTAGAAATTTCATCTAAATCGGTTCAGCTTTTTAAACTTAAAGAGAACAGAATTAGTATGGAAATATGGATGGAGTATGGTTTACAAATAGAAGTGGGAAGTATATATGTATTGTTATAATACCTAATTAATATAAAATTTAATAAAATACATTTCTGAAATAAATTGTTATTTTATTATTAACCTCCTGAGACCGAAGACTACAGTATCTCTAAACGCTATCGTAAGCGATAGCGTTTTCCAAAGCAATCCCGTTAGGCGAATGGCCCCCAGCTAGGGATCCCCGCGGTCAGGGTCATGGGACGGGCAATCGTCCTCTCCTGCCCGCTCTTTCTTTGGCGGGAGGGAGACCCCAGGGGATCATCCTCCATCTCCCTCTCGGCCACCTCCCATGTCGTATCGCTACGGGGGGGGGGGGGAGTAAAGGTCATCTTTACTCCCCCCCCCCCCCCCTGAAAAAATAAAGCATCAAATCGACCCCCCATATATTTATTATAAGCTCACAAAACAAGTTACAATTATATTTTTAAAAAAAACAAAGCAATTACAATAATTGAAAACCAAACTGTAACTCTAAATATGTGGGCATGACATGATTAAATTTTATGGGCAGAAGTTCACACTAAAGAAAAATATATAAATCGAATTTCAACAATTAAACAACAAAAAAAAAATCACTTGAATAAAAGTTAAAATTAACCGTTTTTTTTTAACGAAGTACTAATCGTTGGATTTCTTTCCGAAATTCAAGAAGCCGCCTCCAAAAAATGTCCAAGGAAGAATGATCCTTATGCAGGTTATCGTATTGACGACACACATTTGTGATTTGGATTATAAAAGGACGTGTTGTTATCATAAACTTGCAGAGTAAATACCCTATAAAAAATCCGGGACAATCCCGGATTTCCCTTCCGTCCGGCATCCCTAGTAACCGCCTAGTCTCCCTATTTCGTCCGTGGGGAAGGCCTGTGTCACGGTAAATAACGTACTAGTAGATACGTATATAAAAAATATTCTATAAAGGTAAGACACCTTTCCAATATTTCAGGTAATTTAGAAAATGATATCTCTGGGTGTGTTATTGAAGAGTTCAAGCAACCAAAAACAGCAATTGTGCTGTTGTACGATATTGATCGTCGTTTGTTCTTTTCCATACTAAATTATGTAGGTATCTACTTAATTAAATCAAATATTTACAATACAAAACGCATGTTTAAGCACGGCTAACTGCATAAAAAACAATTCAGACCGTTCGGTCGTCGTTGCGGCGCGGCGGCGCATTCGCGACTGGGTGCACGCCGAGAGCACATCGAACTCGAGTGGCGTAGGTATGACTCGCTTTCCGACCGTTTGTATGAAAATAGAATACTGTATGATATTATTACCGTGCCTGTGTGCATCAATAGGCTGTTGATAATACTTCTCTACAATAAACGTACGGTGTCTTTGTTTCAGGTAATGCTGTTAAGGAGTGTGACCCGAAGTGTACAGATTCGACCAAAGATAACCAAGACGGCGCATTTAATGAGAAAGTATCGGGTATGTATCTAAACCGGCGGTACTCATGCTAATGAAGTGAAACTTCTTTTGGACGGAATAAAAATGTGTGCGTGTACTAGTGTACACACGTAAGAAGTGAAACTTCTTTATGGCCTTATTTTTTTCGGAAAATGATCTACATGCAACTTTCCAGAAATATATATATAGGCGTGCGCTAAGATTTTTCAAAAACTCACCCACTAAAGGGGTGTAACTACACCTTACCTTACCTTACCTTACCTTACCTTACCTTACCTTACCTTACCACCTTACCTTGTGTGAAACACGAATATTTGCTGTCGATACTTTTTTTTTCAAAGTTGACAGAAGAAGCAATTGTTCGGATGAGGTAAATAGTGCTCTTTTAAAAAAAAAGATGGCGCGTAACCAAAAAACGTGACGCGTAACCGAATAAAAATGTGACGGTAAATTTTTTTCCAACGCCGATAAAGAAGTTTCACTCTAAAAATCCTTTGGAAAAGATGAAACGGAAATGCGTCACACGGCTATCTAATATATAAAATTCTCGTGTCGCGGTGTTTGTGGTTAAACTCCTCCGAAACGGCTTTCCCGATTCTCATGAAATTTTGTGTGCATATTGGGTAGGTCTGAGAATCGGACAACATCTATTTTTCATCCCCCTAAATGTTAAGGGTAATCCACCCCTAAATTTTCTTTTTCAATTTTAGATATTTTTTTTATGATACATCATACAAAAATACATACATCCCCAAATTTTCAACTTTCTACCACCAACCCCTATTTTTTATGGCGGTACGAAGTTCGCTGGGTCAGCTAGTAATATATATAAATAATAAAGAAATAAATATATATTCCATCCATAGGGAAGGCCTGTGCCCCAGCAGTGGGGACATTAATAGGCTGATGATGATGAAATAAATAAATAAATATTTCCAACACTCACACCAATTAGCCTAGACCCAAAGTAAGCACTATAAGGCTTGTGTTATGGGATGCTAGGGTAACGGATAGAATACATACATACTGTACAGATATAAGTATATTTATATAGAAATACATAATAAACATCCATGACTGGAGTACAAATGCTCGCATTCCTCATACAAACATCTGCCCCCACCGGGATTCGAACCCGGGACCTCTCGAGTCGGTCGGGAGACACCACGAAACCTGGCGTACAAACCATTCGGCCACGGAGGTCGTCAAAAATATATATATATGTGCGTGCGTGCGTGCGTGTGTGCGTGTGCGCGTGTGCGTGTGCGTGTGTGCGTGTGCGTGTGCGTGTGCGCGTGCGCGTGTGCGTGTGCGTGTGTGTGTGTGTGTGTGTGCGTGCGTGCGTGCGCGCGCGTGCGTGCGTGTGCGTGCGTGCGTGCGTGCGTGTGTGTGTGTGTGTGTGTGTGTGTGTGTGTGTCGACTAATCGGTTTTCGAATTGGCGACTAGTCGGCCGACTAATCTGCAATGCCGATCATTCTAATACCTATCTTAGGAAGGTGTTCGGAATATTTCGACGCGAGTCCCCCAAATCAAGCCGAAATATTCACATCACAATTTGCCTTTAATTAAAAAAATGTTTACCTATAGGCTTCTTTGAGACTCGCGCTAGCACTAAGATTTTACTCAATTAATACATATGTGGCGGCGACATCTATATGCCCCACATATATACAACGGATGGAGGAAATCATTACTCACCATCCTCAAGAGATGGCGTTACCTGCACTGCGATCTTAATAGTATGGAAGCCTACATCGCGCAAATGAAATTCGGAGGCTAACTCTTCATATATACGATGCCCGACTAATATCAGTCGGGCCGCGGCCCCCGAGCTAACATCACCCAGCTCGGAGGAAGATCTTCCCCTTTGGCCTTCCTACAGTATCACGTCGGGGTCACCAGTGTAGGAAGGCCAAAGGGGCTTAGCTTAATGGACCCATCTCTAATATATATTGGACGACCTCCGTGGCCGAGTGGTTTATACGGTTTCATGGTGTCGCCGACACGAGAGGTCCCGGGTTTGAATCCCGGTGGGAGCAGATGTTTGTGTGATGAACACGAGCATTTGTACTCAAGTCATGGATGTTTAAATATGTATTTCTATATAGATATATATGTAAAGTATGTGTATTCTATCCGTTAGCCCTAGTATCCCATAACACAAGCCTTATAGAGCTTACTTTGGGGCTAGGCTAATTGATGTGAGTGTTGGAAATATTTATTTATTTATATATATATATATTCATATATATGAATGATGCGTGCGTTGTTCCATTCCCCTATACCTTATGCATCGCCTACTGTAAAATTATTTGCGAAAACAAGTTTCACTTCAAATGTGTGCTCCGTGCACACATTTTGTTTTCAATCGGGCCATACAAGCAAACAGTATACTATGACTAGGCCACTGAGACCACTCCAAACTTGATCTTATTCCGTGGAATCTTATGAAATAAATAAACATTTCCCAAACTCGCACTCACACCAATTAGCCTAGCCCCAAAGTAAGCACTGTAGGCTTGTGTTATGGGATGCTAGGGTAACGGATAGAATACAAACATACTGTACAGATATAAGTATATTTATATAGAAATACATAATAAACATCCATGACTGGAGTACAAATGCTCGCATTCCTCATACAAACATCTGGTCACATTTTAGAGTTTGTATAGATTTGCACTAGTATAATATATTGCATTTTACGGGTGATGTTTCGAGTCTTATAAAATAATTGTTAATAAACTAATTATAAAAATATATACATATTTCAGTAGTTCAATGATGGTATATTAGTTTTTGATAGTAATTCTATTTAAATCAATATCAAAATACGAGGTAAACCTGCATTATTTTTTGGGAAAACTCACGGACATTAGGCCGTATACAGAAAGAAAGCCGAAAGCCGATCGGCGCTTATCGGCGCCTATTGGCGCTGATCCTTTTTCTATGGACCGGCGCCGATCGGCGCTGGTCCGAATAATAAATAATTTGTATTTGAATTATTATCCTTAGATTAAATCAAAGTTATAATCTTTTTATAAATCTAATAACTTGATCTTTTATTAACTAAGCGCTAAAATTATTTGTTTCCTACTTACCGAATGGTGACAACAAGTCTTTCTTCTGGAAGGATTGGTTGTTTATGCCAATTGCCCCAATTTTTCATCAAACGGTTTTTCACTAAATCCAAAATGTAATAAAATGTTTCTTGAATCATTCTTGTATATGTATAAAATCTTTGTTCATCAATTTTTTTTTAAATAAATGATGGTGTTCTCCGAAACGTTTCCTTTCTCTATTTATAAGATGTATAGCTGTTTTTCGCATTTTTAAATAAACATTTTCTAACAAAACCAAATCATCGTCCGATGAGTCCGACATTTTGCTTGATCTGCTTTAATCGGCTTCCTTTATGTAGGAAGGATCGGCGCCGATAAGCGCCGATCGGCTTTCGGCTTTCTTTCTGTATACGGCCTTAGATGTTGTTTTTTAATAATTAATGAGATCATCAACAGCCTATACTAATCCACTGCTGGACATAAGCCTCCCCAATTGCACGCCACTCAGATCGATTTAGGGCTACTCGCATCCAGCTCCTGAGATTAATGAGATGGAAAATCAAAATTCTAATATATACTTCCGACCACATCTATCGGCCCACTTAGTGTTATTAGTTTCAATGGTTTGGAGCAAAAATCTCTTATCTATTAGACAAGTCCGTCCGTCCGTCCGTGGTGCTGTTTCAGCGGCCAAACCGTAAGAGATAGATAAAGAGAATGTTTAAGTTATAAGTTAAGAATAGTCTGATAAGACTACAAACCGGATTTCAGTAACGTAGCACTTCCGGTTTTCGAGAAATCACGAATTTCAAACGAAACCACACAAAATCTCCGAAGTTCTCAATTAATTAAATACATTTTTTTTTAAATCAGGTTTTGGTGAACATTTGGTTCACTGGTTTGCTAGTATTGTTATATTGAGCGTGTATATGCAGCGTGTTTGAATGTCCAATTGTGACTACAACGAATTGTGGTCGTGGACCACAATTTAAGCGGATCACTTTTAGCCGCGAGTGCCGTATCTTCCCTTTTTGTTTTAATCTAAGCTTCCAACCAACCAAGCTTTTATGAGCAAGCGAGTAAAGGTGAATTTTGTTTTAATATCTTGTTTTGATTACCAATGTTTTAATTGGCTCCTTTTTTTGTTACAGATAAAAAAATTGAAGATTCCAATCCAAAAGCAGAGTTATTAGCTGACAGTTCAAAACATTCAGGTAAGTTTATTATTGGCAGTGGGAAAGCATAATTGCTTAAACGCCATTTAATGATGACCTCCGTGGCCGAGTGGTTTGTACGCCGGGTTTCATGGTGTCGCCGACTTGAGAGGTCCCGGGTTCGAATCCCGGTGGGGGCAGATGTTTGTGTGACGAACACGAGCATTTGTACTCAAGTCATGGATGTTTAATATGTATTTCTATATAAATATACTTATATATGTACAGTATATGTATTCTATCCGTTACCCTAGCATCCCATAACACAAGCCTTACAGTGCTTACTTTGGGGCTAGGCTAATTGGTGTGAGTGTTGGAAATATTTAATGTTTTTTAATCCAATAGCGCTTACGCCCTACTATTTGGCGTATGATTTGATGTTGGCTAAAAAATGTATAATGGGCCGAGTGATTTTCGCTTAAGCGAAATCTAATTCGTAAAGGCACTATGTAACTTTATGATGGAAGGATATTTGGAAAATATTATTTTATGAATGTTTTTATTTTTATGGCGCTACCTCGCATTTGCAACGACTAATTATTTTTTTGGAGCTCGATGGCGCAAGTGGTTAGCGCTTTCGGCTGCGATCGTTGAAGTTAAGCAACTTTCGCAGTGGTCGGTCATTGGATGGGTGACCAAAAATTTACTATCTCACACTCCTCCGTGCTTCGGAAGGCACGTTAAGCCGGTTGGTCCCGGCTGCATCTGCGGTCATTAGCACCCACCAACCCGCATTGGGCCCCCGTGGTGGGTCATGGCCCAATCTCCCTAATCCATCCATAGGGAAGGCCTGTGCCCCAGCAGTGGGGACATTAATAGGCTGACGATGATGATAAACAATAAACATCCACGTCTAAAGTAGAAATGCACGATTTCATCATACTAGCATTTGCCTCCACCTGGATTAGAACCCGGCACCTTTGACACCTTGACCTAGCGTATATTATTGTATCACTCGGCCGCGGAGGTTGTGAACCATCATTTTGTTGTTTCAGAGGATATCGCAGATGGGTTAGTTTCGGAACCTTTAAAGCCTAAAGCCACATACAGGAATCCAAGTAAGTTAATTTTTAAAAAGTACATGTTATTTATACTTATCTGATGTGGTGGGAAGCTTTCAACTTTAAAGTTTGATATACAACGACATTAAATACCCTAGATACACCACGTGCGCTCAAAATGTGTTCCAATCAAGAAGTGCTTGAACTCCACTCAAGCACTTCTTGGTTCACAGTCACGCGCGGACCGTTACAAAGCCAAGATGCCACAGAGCTCCGCGAAAAAATGCGAAAATAATACTTAGATTACGAAAAGTGTCGTTTTTTCGACAGGTATCTAGTCAATGTTTGTTAATTGAACGCATTTGAAGCAAATTTTGTTCTAATACTTACTATAAACTGATTTAATTTAAAATATTTTTGATATTCAAATGCATGGTCGGTTATACGTCTCACGACGCCACATCATCATTTTTTGATATAAGTTAATGCTCTCACTTTCTTTGATTTAAAAATAGATTATAACAAGAGCTGACTCTTAATGACACGACATCTATTTGCGGTATCTGAGTACGACCGTTAATGAGTATTTACTTCAGTTTGAGGGGTTGATTTGTAACACATGGGGAATGCAATTCCGTAAGATAATATCATTCCAGGGTGCTAATCGCCTAAGGGGATTATTATGTTTGTTCGCCGATAATTTTCAAATATTCTTTACTAGAAAAATTTTTTTCCTAAATCCTACTAAAGAAAATTTTACTAGAAAATATATTTTTTATTTTCTAGTACAATTTTCTTAAGATTTCAACAAGTAGCAGTTAAATGATTAAAAAGATATTTATATATAACATTTTATTTATTTATTATATTACATTGAACCGAATCAATTTGTTTCAGGGCTAAAAATCAAAGATGAAGATGGTAAGTTTTTTCATGCAATAAGAATTTTAAACAAAAAATGGAAAATCCAAAAGTGCACGCCACATATGCGTATTGTATTACAAATTGAAATATCTTTAAAGCGGTTATCAGTTCAATCACGATAAGAAATAGGGTTCATCCTCAGTATAAGTGGAAATTAAATCAAAAGGATTTATTACAATCAATTGCGTATATTTTTCTAAAACGTGCAGACAAACAAGTGCACAGACCAACGGACAGCAGTACGAATAATTTTTTAACTACATTTTTTTGGTATATATATATATATACTAAAAAAATAAATGAATACGCTGTAAAAGTATTCATTTGACATTGTGGGTTACCTAGAATGCGAAGAGATGGCGCTGCCTTGCAGCTTAAGAATGGCTAGAAGAATTTCGATGCGGTCCGTGAGGGCCGCGGTAGCATAATTGGTCAGTGCATTCGCCCGGATTGCGAAAGGTGCGGGTTCGAGTCCCGTCTGCTGCCTGGTCCGCGTGGACTTTATAATATAATATGTCTAGTTTTCAAAACACCCCTTTTTTTCATTTAGTGTCGAACTTGGGAGATCAGAGCGATTTTATATTGTAAAATCGTCTCATAGCGGCCTATCGAGAGTAAAGCACTCCCACACGCTTACGCGTTGTGAGGCGTGCAATAATTTGAGTGACTTAGCGGCCATATGTATGCCATAACTGTAACTCGCATATTTTCTACCCTACCCTGTGAAAGAAGCCTTACCCAACAGACCGGTGCTTTATCGTTCCGTTTTCGTTACTGTACAGTTCTATACCGTGCGCATACACACCATCCTGTACCGAATTCTGCCTAACCAATCGACTCGCCCGTCCGAGTTGACGCTATCATAAAAAAGTGACAAACACTGTAGAGTCTGTGCGGAAAGTGAATGGGATTTAGATTGGAGGGCGCCGTAGTGATTTTCTACCGTATTTGTAAGGTTTTACCCCTTTTAGACATGATTAAATACAAAAAACCGCAAGAAATCACAGCAACAAACAAATCCGTATCAATACCAGACTTTGACGTTTTATAGATTGCTGGGTTTGATTGCCAAATAAAAATCTTAATGGTAGTTCCGTTTTTCGCCACACCCATTCTCTTTCCGCACAGACTCTAGCAGACGAAACTAAACGATACCGCACTGAAGCCAATCTGTTCAAGAAGTGGTTGTCGGTATAGAACCTGTACAGATTTGGATAGGATCCGATGAGGAAGGCGCCAAAATGTAGTGTTATGTCACTGCTATTTTCTGTATGGTGGAGATAATTTTTCCTAGACGGATCCCATCTAGAAGAGTATGAAGATATTTCCGTGACAAAAAATATTAGTTCCCATGTAAGACTTTTTAGAGGAGCTCGATGGCGCAAGTGGTTAGCGCGTTCGGCTACGAACGTTGAAGTTAAGCAACTTGCGCAGTGGTCGGTCATTGGATGGGTGACCAAAAATTTACTATCTCGAGCTCCTCCGTGCTTCGGAAGGCACGTTAAGCAGTTGGTCCCGGCTGCATCTGCAGTCGTTAGCACCCACCAATCTGCACTGGGCCCGCGTGGTGGGTCATGGCCCAATCTCCCTATTCCATCCATAGGGAAGGCCTGTGCCCCAGCAGTGGGGACATTAATAGGCTGATGATGATGATGAAGACTTTTTATATCCATGCTGAAATTCATCAAAGTTCAAACATTTAACTACTGCTGTGTCAGTGACCATGAAATTTTAATACGATAATAGAGTCGCTTATAATATTTTTGTTGCAGCAGAAGTAATTGAAGAATATTTGAGTGACTTTGAGAGTGAGCCAGAATGTCAACCTGAGACTGAATCACAAGAGGACGCTGGTAAGTTGCAAAGTTGTCTAAACTTTACTGCTTAGCTAGAACTTTTTAGCATTAGAATATTATTTTGAATATCACTATGAAACGAGATGTGAGTAGTAACGTACAGGAAAAAATCTGTCTTACCAGAAAAAGAACGTATATCGAATAATTATTATATAATAATTTACGAGTTAGGAACAAACGTACCAAATACTTAACAAATTGTGAAAAATAGGGGTCCCAAATGAGTACCCTGTGGAACTCAAAATTTGACTGAAGAAAAAGCATTTGGCACAACAAATTTACTACTTCTAGCAAGTAAAACTTATGAAAATTGTAGTAAATGTTACGGTGATTCAATGAGATGCTAGGTTGCATCTAATAGAAAATATTGTGTGCTTATTATTGTTGAACGCTTTGCAAAAAACTATTATTTTATGTACCCCCATAATTATATCTACACAAATAAATAAATGTTTTTTTTATTCTAAGCAACAGATGACACTTCGGATCAATTGTTACTGTGTCGTGGATGTTTCGCCACTGACGTCAAAATGTTCGATCTAGACTCGATGGATTTGAAGCAAACATTTGAAGAATTCGTCGGAAAAACGGTAAGCGTTTATTTGTATCTTATAAACACTGTAATCGTACTAATCTTGCCCGTGTTAAAATTTTCCTAGATAATGTTTTCTTCGGTTGTAAAAAATATTATAAAAAGTCAGGTGTTTGGTTGCATTGCAATATTGACAAGTAAAGTTAAACAATTTTGTGGGCATGCTTTATATTTACAATAACTCAATGCTATTACTCAATATTTTATTGTATCCGATATTGCGCCTGATTAGTTATGATTTTTTACTGCAGTGTAATTGGTTGTTGTCAAACCAATATCTGATATGTGCAATTTTTTAATATTTCGACATTTTCATAATAGAAATTCCATTTGAATACAAAGATACAGCTAATCTTTTGCATTAGAACGGTGAAAAGAGGTTACTTAATAAAAATAATGGTATGTGCGTTAGCCAGATATTGTCAACTATGAAATGCTTTATCAAATCGAAAGGAAATTGTACTAGAAAAAAATCCTCGCAGTTCAGCAGACGGGATTCGAACCCGTACCTTGCGCTACGTATGCACTGACCATAATGCTACCGCGGCCCTAATTCTCCGTTTTGAATTTTCTCTAGTATTTCTTAGGCTGCAAGCTAGCGCCATCTTTGCATTGCAGGTAATCCACAATTTACAGTTAGTTTTATTTAAATCAACATGGGAAATTGGCAAAAATCAGAAATCGATAGAATTGTGGGAAAATCCCCTTTGAGCTATTAAAAATGCCACTATTCCTAGATGAACAAAGAAATTTGGTGACTCATTTCTTTGTCGTACTATACGTAAGTGTTAAGAGAGGCGTGAAGAAGCATTTTTGCAGGCCGGCAATGTGAGGATAATTGGTGTAGCCGTTTATAACTGCTGTACCAGCTATCTTCGCGTTTGGACTTTATTACCACTTAACATCAGGTGGGGTAGAGTCATTTGCCTACCTCAATATATATATAAAAAAATAAGAGGTTTTAATGTTTGCATATGCAGATAATTGGTTTGTTAACAACCACATTATCGCAGCCTATCAATATCCCAAATGCTGAGGCACAGGCTTTCCTTATAGTTAGAATAGGGAGATTAGCTCGTGACCCACCACGCGGGCCCAGTGCGGATTGGTGGGTGCTAACGATGGCAGATGCAGCCGGGACCAACTGCTCAACGCGCCTTCCGAAGCACGAAGGAGCTTGAGATAGTAAATTTTTGGTCACCCATCCAATAACTTACCACTGCGAAAGTAAATAAACAAATATAATTCCGACACTCACACCAATTAGCCTAGCCCCAAAGTAAGCACTGTAAGGCTTGTGTTATGGGATACTAGGGTAACGGATAGAATACATATACTGTACATATATAAGTATATTTATATAGAAATACATATTGAACATCCATGACTGGAGTACAAATGCTCGTGTTCATCACACAAACATCCGCCCCCACCAGGATTCGAACCCGGGACCACTCTGCTACGGTGGTCGTCATAAATTCGACGATCGCAGCTGAACGTGCTAATGTCTTGCGCCATCGGGCTCCTCAATGGATGACATGTTGATGTTTTATTATTTGTTAATAGAAGGTGGAGGAATTGCCACATTATTTGTGCTCGTATTGCGCGACATCGCTCGTCAGGTTCTCGCAGTACAGGGAGAGGTGTCGACGCGCGGAAGTGTTGCTGCAACACTTGAGCGACAACAACATGGTGAGAACCCATACAAATGTGTTGTTACTTCGCTGTCATCAGCCAATTAGCCTAGCCCCAAAGTTAGCATATAGGATAGAATACGTATTCTGATACATATATAATATTTATCAAGAGATATATTTTATAAACATCCATGATTTGTGTTCAAAGGCTCGTATTCATCATACTAACATTTGCCCCACCGGGATTCGAACCCGAGATCTCTGACTACCTTGAAACCCGGCGTACATCGGGACACGAGAGATCGTTAAAAATAACTAAAACGTTTAATCCATAAAATTTCGAATTTATAAGTAAGTCAGAACTCTATACTAATTTTCTTTCGTCATTTCAGCTAAATCCCACACTCATCAAATCCATAGACAGGCCATATTACAAAGTAAACTTGAACTTGTCTATATCCAAACTCGTGCATATGGAAACCGATGAGATAGAAATCAAATCGGAAGATGATGATGAAGAAGACGATGTAAAATCAGACCGCGAAGAAAGTGGAATGTATGCAAATATTGTAACCAATGACAAGACGTTACAAACGGATGAAGGAATTAGTGAAACTAATCCATCCGTTAAATATTTACAAAAGGATGATGTAGCAAACATGGATATTGATCGATCCATTGTATATTTGCAAGAAAATGAAGAAGGAATTAGTAATATAGGACAACAAGATGTTGAAGCGGAAATCGACAATATTGGACAATACGTGGATTGCATCGAAGAAAATGATCCAGATATAAGTGATACCAAACAATCTGAAGATGACATGGACACTAAAGTTATAAAAGAGTTTTTAAATAGGATAAATAAAATAAAAGTTCCTTCAAAAAAGAAGAGTATAGTGGATACGTATGAGAAGGAATTCTCTATGGAAGTAAAGATTTTGACCAAAGAGGAGCAATTGCAATTCGTGCAGGCGAGGAAATCGTCAAGCAACTATTTAAATTCAAAATTTAGGTAAGTGCCTACCTGACTACCCCATTTTTGTCACACAAAATCGTCATTTGAATACATTTATGTCCGAGAAATGGTTCCAGTGAGATTAGAGATGCAAGATTAGTTTTATTTTATTGTGTAAGAAAAAAATCGTGTTATTTCGAAGGCATGTTTTTTACACAATTATAGAATCTAAAATTATTTAAGAAGTTTTCCGTTCAAGATGTGTTTATATTACACTTTTCTGTTTAGGTATTTTAAAACTTACTACACTTTGATTGAAAATTACCAGTCAAGCTTTCAACATTTGCCAACACTCACGGGTATAGCTACATATGTAGCATGGGAAAATCCTTGAATTCCCCAATTCCCCGTTAAGTATATGTCAGTTTGAAGTATGAACACAGTTAACAGAACTATTTAAAGACTAGTGTTTTAAAGCAATAATATTTTTCTCCGTCAATTGTGGACCGATCTCCAAAAATCTTTTTTTATTCGAAAGAGTCCACTTCCGAGGTGGCCCCATTGGAACTAAGTCGGGATCTAATGTTGGAATCCGGGGAAATCGAGGGACACCTTCTAATTTCAAAGGCACCCACGATGTTTATTTATGCATGTTCACTTATGTTATTGTTTACTTGGACGATGTAATTTTCAGTAAAATGGATGAAATAAAAAAATTTAAACAAAAAATAGAACCGACTTCAAAATCGAAAATGGAACTAAAAAGTAAAAAATAATATCTGGTTCATGATTTGGAAATCGGGCGGGGTCAAGTATTTTCGTTTATTCATAAATAGATTTTCGTTTCTGATCGGTAAATAATACGTCTGTCAATCTTGATCCACCGCCTGACTTCCAAATCATGAACCAGATTTTTTTTTACTTTTTAGTTGAATTTTCGATTTTGAAGTCGGTTTTACTTTTTGTTTAAAAATTTATATAATGTGGTTCTTTTTTCACAGAAATGAAAGAAATTTGTTTTTTTTTTCTCATTTAGGTGCGACCATTGTTTCAAAGGCTTCATGTCTTCTGAAAAGTTTAGAAATCACTTCAACTGCTTCCATCACCCGGCCATCGGTGAGCTCGAGTGTTCCATGTGCCGAGCTAGATTTGACAACAGAAAGAAGCTTCACTATCACATGGTCAACCACAAATACTTGTAAGTTGGCAAATATCTTGTTTTATTCTTTTGACGTGACAACGTCTTAAATTAGGTTGCGGCTGGGAGTCACTTATGAAAAAGTGTAACGCTCGGTAACGTTACGATGAGTCTCTCGTGTTAAGTTTAAGTTTACATGTACAATGTTTTAGTAAACAAAATATATTTCTATAGTTAAAATTTGTACAATTCTTATTTTCATTCAATTCCTTGTTCCTATTGTGCAATTTAATTATATTCATATCAATAAATATTCTACCGAGAAAAAGACGTTGTCACGTAAAATCTTCGCCCGTAAAACCGACTTTACAGGCAACCATTTTTTTAACACTGTTTAGGGAAGAGTCTTTAGCATTTCATCGTAAGATATACGTACACATACATTGTAACAGGGCGACCAGAGCGACGTGCATCATTGACTTAAAAAATTCCGGATCGTAAACGCTTAAACCATATTTGTGCTGCACTAGGTCCATAAACATCACAAATTCATTCATTGGATTTACTCACCTTGACAGAAAAGAAAAAAAAATGAAAATCACTCATTTTTCTAATTTGAATTTGGAATTATCTTGATTAAAATTTAAACTTTTTAATGATATCAAAACTAGCCAGATGCAAATGGTATGCCAAAGAGATTTTATGACAAGTTCATACATACTATAATGCGAAAAGACTTTTTCCCCAACCTATTAAATAATAACAAATTTATATCTTCTTCAGATTCAAATGCAAGATATGCGGGTTCAAAACCACAAGACGCTTTGGTGCCAAAAATCATCATTACAAACATGCAGGACGAAATTACACGTGCGAATATTGCGGCAAATCATTCAAATATAGCACAACTTACTTGTCACATTTGAGGCTAATCCACCGGACCGGCCTCAATGTGTGGTGCAGATTGTGCGGGGATTCATTTTTGAGCGATTTAGGTCTCAAAGCTCATCGAAGATTAATGCATATGAATATTGAATATCAGTGTCTGCAATGCGGTTTAAGTTTTCTCAACGAAAGTGCGTTGTTAGTACATAATAATGGACAGTGTGTGGATAATTGTTGTGCTCAGTGCGGTGAAAGTTGCCCCGATGAGGAGTCTTTAAAAGTTCATTTTACTGATAAACATGGTAAAGCCAAATGTGCCTTGTGTAATGTCGAGTTTAAGTCCCGTGTTGCGTTAGAGAGTCATTTGGAAAACTCCAGTGCGAAGTGTAGGAACGTTAAATGTTGTGTTTGGTGCGGGGAATGTTATTTGACGTCGGATTTGTTAAATGAACACATCGCTTTTCAACACAACAAATACAAAGTTTCCTGTTCTGTGGTAAGTGAAAATAGATTTTAGAACTTAACTTCAAGACTTAACTGCTAGATTTATAACGGTTCTAATCCTGAATCCTGGACTGACCAAGTAGAATTTGTTCTACTTGAACTTTTCTACACACTTAGATTTTCGTCATGCTTTAGATAAAGTGAATCATTAGTAAATAATATTAGTTTAAAGCCTTTAAAATGAATATTATTAATAACCTTAACAATACAAACATTTTCAGAGTAAATGTTGATGCTATGTTCAATGACTTTGTATCAGAGATAATAAACGCAATAAAGGGATACTACAAAGATCACCTCTTGGTCCACATCTTTTTGCATTGCAGAAAAATGTTACGCTTTACTCACTTTTAATTACAATAAGGCAGTTCAGATATTATTAATTATCAGTTGATAGATGCTAAATTAGGATACTTTAGGGTTGATCCCTTTAGTATACCTAATTTATCTCTTGGGTTCATTATATTTCATTTCAGTGAATTTAGCTTTGCAACTAATGATTATGCTTTATCTATAAATAATAATTATGACAGAGATGAATATGTTTATTGATAAATACTGGTACAGTCTCAAGACTTTTGTCAACAATAGCAAGTGAATGGATAGCTTGCTCATGTTTGACTATTAGCTTTATTATACTAAAGGAGCCGGGTTTGATTCCAGGACTGGTTCAAAGTAACCTTATTTTCCATTGAGCACAATATGGCTATGATACTATAAAATTTAGTTATTATTAAAGATAATTTTACTGTGTTTTGTTTAAAGAAAATTTTATTAGAAAACATTGCATTCAGATGAGATGCCAAGCACAATCAGTAGGCTCATTCGCTAACTGTTTTTGACAGACGGAAGGATATGATAGCTACCAAGCTATTTACTGATCCACGACTGCTATATTAAAACGCAACTAAGCTACTTGCCCTGAAAAAGCTTTAACGGATATGCAATGAGCTATTTAGTTTTACACTGTAAATATCGAAAAAGTTTGCGAATAGGCTAACTGTGTTGAGCGGAAGTTTTCCTAGAAAAAAATACTTTCATCATCAGCCTATTAATGTCCGCACTGCTGGGGCACAGGCTTTCCCTATAGATGGAATAGGGAGACTGGGCCATGACCCACCACGCGGGCCCAGTGCGGATTGGCGGGTGCTAACGACTGCAGATGCAGCCGGACAACGGCTTAACGCGCCTTCCGAAACACGGAGAGAGATAGTAAATTTTTGGTCACCCATCCAATGACTGACCACTGCGAAAGTTGCTTAACTTCAACGATTGCAGCCAAACGCGCTAACCACCCACGCAATCGTTTAGTTGAGGAGCTCAACTAAACCCTGTATTATAATATTAAATACCAATACTTCCATTTCTCGTAGTGCAACAAGGGATTCCCCACCAAGAAGTCGTACAATGACCACTACAAGCAGACCCACTGGGAATCTAAACCACGCGGGCGACGCGACTTCATGACGTGGCCCAGACAATGGGGCCTCGTCGAGGGGGAGGAGGGAACATATATATCCACATATAACTCGCAAACCTCTGACCAACAGGAGGGTAAGGGAGGGATAGTCTGTGAACTGTGCGGGAAAACTTACCCGGTAAGTGTGGAATGGGGTGAAATACATAATTTGTCTTTAGAAAATATAACTAGAAAAAATTCAATCAATCAATCAATCAAAATAGTTTATTCAGCACAGTACACGGATACAGATAAATTGTTATACTTATTATAACTTACAAAATGACAATTAGATACAGACATTAATAAATACCACTTAACATATACCATACTGGAGTCAATTCCGGCACGACCCCCCAAACGGAAACTTAAGCCTGACAGCAGCGTATCCCTGTCACTACGTATAGTGAATGAAAAGGACTAACCGATGCCAAATTCAGTCCTAAGTTAATAGAATCATGCCAGAATCGATACCTATACCACTCCGTATTCACGGCTGCGCTGAAAATGGCCCAGTTCAGCATAATGTCAGATAAAGTAAATCATTAGTAAATGATATTAGTTTATGATTCCTTTAAAATGAATATTATTAATAACCTTAACAATACAAACATTTTCAGAGTAAATGTTGATGCTATGTTCAATGACTTTGTATCAGAGATAATAAACGCAATAAAGGGATACTACAAGGATCACCTCTTGGTCCACATCTTTTTGCATTGCAGAAAAATGTTACGCTTTACTCACTTTTAATTATAATAAGACAATTCAGATATTATTAATTATCAGTTGATAGATGTCAGTGCACTATACACTGGCGCTGGTTTTCAACTGGGCCCTTTATCTGACAAGTGGATGCCAAACACTAACGATTTTTTATATGAATAATTATATACCAATTTAAAAGTAAAATTAAAAAAAGGGGCAAGGCTGTGTAAATCCGTTGCCTTTGCACCGAGACTAGAAAATATAATTCCACGTGGACCAGGCAGCAGACGGGACTCGAATATTTGGATTTAAACATCAAGCAGTTACATGCTTTAAAAAATAAAAATTATAACTATAATTGCTATTTTTTTCTTTAATACTGGTAATAGTATTTATTTGACATTGTGGGTTACCTATAATGCGAAGAGATGTCTTGCAGCTTAAGAATGGCTAGAGGAATTTCGACGCGGTCCGCGAGGGCCGCGGTAGCATAATTGGTCAGTGCATTCGCCCGGATTGCGAAGGGTGCTGGTTCGAGTACCGTCTGCTGCGTGGTCTGCGTGGAATTTTTTCTAGTTATATTTTCTTTAGATATAAACATAAAGCAGTTACATGCTTTAAACAAAAAAAAAATATGACACTACTGAAGTTCGACCGGAGTGAGCTCTGTGACGTCACAGGTTTCGGTCGCCGTTGAACATTGGCTACCACAAAATTAGTTATAAAATCACAACGAATGAACCGATTTCGATAATTCAAAAAAGTATATTAATTGAAAAGCTTATTAGATCATTATACTGTCCATTATGCTACCACGGCCCTATTAGCCGCGTCGAAATTCTCCTAGCTTTAAGCTGCAAGGCAGCGCCATCTCTTCGCATTATATTGACATTGTGGGTTACCTACAATGCGAAGAGATGGCGCTGCCATGCAGCTTAAGGCTAGGAAAATTTCGACGTGGCTAATAGGGCCGTGGTAGCATAATGGTCAGTGCATCTGCCCGAATAACGAAGGGAATAACCAGGCAGCAGACGGGACTCGAACCCGCTCGAGTCCCGTCTGCTGCCTGGCCCGTGTGGACTTTTTTCTATTAAAACTTTTCTTTAGATCTAAGACTAATAGTCAGTTTTAACTACACAATGGTGTCGATTCTGACACGATTCTCTAAATCTAAACTTAAATTTGACACTAGTGTATCCTTGTCATTCTCTATACAGAGTAAAAAGGACAGACTGATGTTAAATTTAGTTTTAAGTTTAGAGAATCCTGTCAGAATCGACACCTATATGTATTATATTTTTTTTGTTATAATTTTGAATCATGTAACTGCTCGATGGTGCGTTGCCTTGCAGTTTAAGAAAAGCTAGAAAGAATTAGACGCGGCCATCAGGGCCGTAGCATAATGGTCAGTGCATCTGCTGACTGGACCGGGTGGAATTTTTTCTAGTAATATTCTTTTTAAGATTAAAACATCTCGCAGTTAAATTGACTCCTAAATACATATATGATAAAATATTTAGTTTTATTTATTAAAATAACGTTATAATTTTTATTATTTTTTTAAAGCATGTAACTGCTTGATGTTTAAATCTAAAGAAAATATAACTAGAAAAAAATTCCACGCGGACCAGGCAGCAGACGGGACTCGAACCCGCACCCTTCGCAATCCGGGCGAATGCACTGACCAATTATGCTACCGCGGCCCTCACGGACCGCGTCGAAATTCTTTCTAGCTATTCTTAAGCTGCAAGGCAGCGCCATCTCTTTGCATTATAGGTAACCCACAATGTCAAATGAATACTTTTACAAGTATTAAACATTTGAAAGAAGAAATAGCAATTATAGTTATAATTTTTATTATTTTTTTAAAGCATGTAACTGCTTGATGTTTAAATCTAAAGAAAATATAACTAGAAAAAAAATTCCACGCGGACCAGGCAGCAGACGGGTAAAATAACGTTTTCTCATTATGCCAACAGAACAAATTGTTGCTGAAGTTACACCTTCACCGACATAGCGGTGTGAAGCCGTTCGCCTGCTCGGTATGCGATAAGAGATTCAGCAATTCTATGTCACTCACGGTAATATATCAAGTTAATTTATTTAGGAAACCGGCTTAGAGTTAGTATTTATGTTCAATTATATATATTTACTAGCTGACCCAGCGAACTTCGCACCGCCCTAAAAAAATAGGGGTTGTCCAGCGGACAAAATTGTGAATCTAAACCATTCTCAGATCCCCTTGAACACACACAAAAAATTTCATCAAAATCGGTCCAGTCGTTTAAGAGAAGTTCAGTGACATACACACTCACAGAAGAATTATATATATAAAGATGTGTATATGTATATGTAAGTGTATGATAGACAATTACTTATATGTACGTATATTATATTAATTACATATTTACATTTCTCATCGACTCTGCTGGCTTACTACATCTTCTTTTCCGTTTAGCTTACTTATACCGCGAAGGTTGTCTGGAAGAGATCGCTTGTAGCGATAAGACCGCCTTTGCGCATTTATTGTCAAATGTATTCTTTATACCTATGTCCTTTTGTATGTTAGCAATAAAGTGTTAATTATTATTATTATTAGAGCATACACCAGCCCCTCTAGCATGACCACCGAAACGGGATATGATAAAGCGATATAACGACGTTAACTGTCAGACTACTGTCAAACTCCACTGTAGTCTGACAGTTAATGCCGATACATCGCTCTATCATATCCCGATTCGGTGTTCATGCTAGAGGTAGTGTTGCCGAACTATCGATAATAAAACTATCGACAGCTTACATCGATAATCATGTACCCTATCGATAGCTCAGAACAAGGCAATACTATCGGATGAGTTAAATACTATCGATACTATTGTAGTTCGTTAATAACAAACTATTGATAGTCGATAGTGTTGATTTTATCTGCAACAATAGTATCGATACTAGCGCTTTTTTTAGACTAAAGTTTGTGATTGACTATGATACCTGAAAATTGTAAACAATTCTATTGCAAATTGTTAAACTATCGATAGTATGGTTGCAAATAAAATCGACAGTATCGATACTATCGATAGTTTGTTATTAACGAACTACAATGCTATCGATAGTATTTAACTCGTCCGATAGTATTGGCTTTTACTGTGCTATCGATACTATTGATAATATCGTTAAACCGATTGGTTGACTATCGATAGATTAATCATCGATAGTCGACTATCGATCGGCAACACTAGCTAGACGGGTATTTATAATCTCATACTCTGCTACTAATCTAATTTTATTTCGCCAACAATCAGTTGTTCATTATTTGACTCTATAATGTAGTTAATCTGTGCTTTTCTCCGCTGCATTCTCACGACTGTTTTCTGTATTCTCGTCGCAAAATCTTTTAAATGTTTATTATTAATTATGTTTGTAATGAAATGTTTGTATGTTTGTAACAAGTTCTTACCTCAGACTCGGAACTGATGAGTTGCAACAGGAGATCATTTGCCTTTAGTGACTTGTCTATAAACTTTTTAAATTTTCTCATCATATGGTAGCAAATGTAGCATATGCATGTCGGCCATAAGTCACCCACTACAAGCTAAAATCACATACAACAATTTATAGCAATTAGAAATTGCTTTTGAACGCCCATTTAGTGTCTTCATAATGATAATTGATTCTTAAATAATGAAAATTATAAACATCTGCCTGCATCTGAACGCCCAAGCTCTTTAATGACGAAGAGCAAAGTTACCTTTCAGAGCTTTACAGGTATAGTTAGACATAAAATAATATAGTTTTGTAAAATATATCTACTCACTCAAAATGGTGATGGTTGAAAATCTTTGTTTTGCCTTAAAACTGGCAAATGTTTAGCCGAGCCTTGGCCTTTTGCTTTCAGCAGCATACATATGGGTATTCATTGATTTCTTGTATAAAAAAATCAATATTTTTCTCAACTATGTTTTATCTCTTCACACTTAAACCGCTGAACTGATTAAGATATACTAGCAAACCAGTGAACCAAATGTTCACCAAAACCGGATTTAAAAAAAAAAATTAATTGAGAACTTCGGAGATTTTGTGTGGTTTCGTTTGAAATTCGTGATTTCTCGAAAACCGGAAGTGCTACGTTACCCAAATCCGGTTTGTAGTCTTATCAGACTATTCTTAACTTATAACTTAAACATTCTCTTTATCTATCTCTTACGGTTTGGCCGCTGAAACAGCACCACAGACGGACGGACGGACGGACTTGTCTAATAGATAAGAGATAATGCGATTCAACTAAGAATAGGACTGGGCGTCATATTGTGAAGTAATAGCTGTCAATACTTCCCTTTTCCAGTACCCCTAGCTCGAACCGATATCGAATTCGTATCGTTTGCGAGTCGGAAATGTCATTGTCAAAAGTGTACTGATTTTTAAGTTCTTGTTACGTACTTTGTGCCGCTGCTGTTGTCATACAAAATTTGACATTGACATTTCGCACTCGCAAACTATTCGAATTCGATAATGGTTCGTGCTAGGGGTACAGTACTCGTTTTCTATACGTTACATATGATTTATTTCCTTATTTTGTTTACAAATGTTTGGTATTTATTCTAAGATTGGACTCGGTGCTAAAAGAAGTGTTCCAAGATTATTTTGCAAACCGTACTTTTCAAGCGACATTTGACAGATGGAGGTTGTTGACTTTCCTATTCTTATTTGAATCGCATAGTAATTTAGTATACAGATATTTTAAGGCTGCAATCATCCTGAATAGGGTATTTGACAGTATTAAAAATAAAGTGCCAATTGTTAGCATCTGTGTTTGGAATGAATATTGGCAGGGGATTTTACTATTTTTCCAAAAAAAATATATATATATTTTATATAATAATTTATAACCCACGAAAAAGATAATAGTTTTCTTATCTATTGTCACGTGACCCAAAACGCTTGGGATTGGCGGAGCCTACAATGACGTCACACGCTAGTAAACTTCCGGTTAAAGTGACATTACATTGTATCGTTTGACGTTTTAATAACAGTCGTGTGACGTCACACGCTAGTAAGACGCCATATTGTCCACAGAAACGTTTCCGCGGCAGCTTGGAAATGGAGTTTTTAACATGGTTTTTTTACAGAAATACACAACAGAATGATGAATATCCACTTTTTACGGACTCCATAAACATTAGTCAATAACGTGAGATCGTTTTCTAAAACTTGTCAAATACCTTATTTTATATCAATATTGATTTTTTTCTCATCAGGTACATTCCCGGGTTCATACAGGAGAGAAACCTTATAGCTGCGAGTATTGTCCTAAAAGGTTCGCAAGAAAATCCGCCATCAACAGGCACACATTGGTAAGAATTAATAAATAAATAAATATTTCCAACACACACACCAATTAGCCTAGCCCCAAAGTAAGCACTGTAAGGCTTGTGTTATGGGATACTAGGGTTACGGATAGAATACATATACTGTACATATATAAGTATATTTATATAGAAATACATATTGAATATCCATGACTGTAGTACAAATGCTCATATTCATGACACCCACCGGGATTCGAACCCGGGATCTCTCGTGTCTGCGTACAAACCACTCGGCCACGGAGGTCGACAATATAATAAGAATAATAAAAAAGTGAATTTAAATATGAATAGAGAAAAAGATGGTTTGCTTTTCTATATATATAAATAAAATTGGAATGTCTGTTTGTAATATTGAAATAACCGCTTTTTACTACATGCATATGAATATATATATATATACGGTACATACAAAAAAATAACATTTTGTACAATTTTTGTCTATCTGTTTGTTCCGGCTAATCTCTGAAATGGCTGGACCGATTTTGACAGGACTTTTATTGGCAGGTAGCTGATGTAATAAGGAGTAACTTAGGCTACTTTTATTTTAGTAAAAAAAAAATTATATGCGGACGAAGTTGCGGTCGGCCGCTAGTATGAAATAAAAATGCAAGTGAAATTTTAAAAAGACATTAAATAAAGAAAATTCCTTTCTCTACTGGGAACCGAACCCGGGCCAAATGATTGGTACCGCAATTTAACGGATGCGTCATCTATACATATAATAAAATGGTAGGAAAGTCAAGCACGTTGAACACTTGGAGTGTGATCTACAATCGATACCGAAGCCAAAAATATAGTTTTTAGATTTTTAGTCTCTTTGTCTGTATGTAGGTACGGGATAAACTCAAAAAGTACAGCATGGATTTACTTCAAAGGACAATGCCAGAAGTTCTATAGAGGTTTAATCCTCCTGATAAAAATGGTTTACACGAATGCGATAAATGACATTTCATAGTTGTAATATTAGGAATCAAAATAGTAAAGTTGTAAATTCTCTAGAAGCTGTGGTTATTGAATAATATACTTACAAAGAGTACAATTATCATGCGTTTCTCGAGCTGCAATTTGAGCAGAAAATTAGAATTTCTATAAATTATTCAACAGTGTCCGTATTGTAGCTGATAGTGTAGAAACGACATGCCTTTGTATTCTATCGACACATAAATAACAATTTATGCATCTCAACATGGTTCCAAATCACAAACGACAATGTCGTACAAATCCTTTTGTTTGACAGAAATGTCAATCAAAAGGATATCAATCCAGAATAACGTTTAGTTTCACATAGGTACTACCACTTAATAATGTGTATGCGCATAAAAATACAAGGTACTATAATCGTTAAACTTTTTTATAAACATAAATTAATTATATTTATAACCGAAATGCTTATTTTATCCATAATATTAAAAAAGAGAACGATATTTTTCGAAAACTTGACTGGCATTTTATTGTTTGTCGTGAAACAAAACGCATATGCCATGTTTTCGTTCTTCTCCTAACGGAAACAGTAGATACAAATTATTTTAATATTTATTACGTATCCGCCGCTTTTACAAAGTAATAATTAAATCGGTACGAGAAAAAAAGTCGTATATATTTTTTCATAAATTTAATATTACTGTTTAAGGTGGGTCAGAATCTGTCATTGTCATTTGGCACGAACATTGTTAAGAACTCGGGTCAACATATAGGCAACATATTATCACGCTATCACCTACGGGGAACGAGCAGGGAACCTTTATTTCTAACTAGCGGCCCGCCCTCGCTTCGCTTCAGTGTAGAGCTGAAGTGTAGACTACAGTTTTTGTTCTCAGGCTTGTATTATACACAATGACATTCATCTATGATTCTTCTTATACCTGCATGCAAAGTCTCAGTCCGATCGGTTTAAAATTGACAAAATTTCATTCCCTATTTTATCCCCTTGGGGGTAGAATTGATCAAAATCTTTTCTTAGCGGATGCCTACGTCATAACATCTACCTGCATGCCAAATTTCAGCCCGATCCGTCCAGTGGTTTGGGCTGTGCGTTGATAGATCACTATGTCAGTCAGTCAGTCAGTCACCTTTGAGTCTTATATATATAGAAGACTAACTCCACGCGTACCAAGTCGCGGGTGGCCGATAGTTATATATATTTGTTTACATGTATTATTATTATTAATGTGTACAGATACACACGGGGGAACGGAGGCACATCTGCCAGATCTGCAACAAGGACTTTGTGACGTCAACAGACGTAAAGACGCACATAAAAACTGTGCACCTGAAGATTATCACGCCGAGAGTCAGGCGGAGCAGATCCAACAAACGTGGGGATTGTGAAGGATAATTAATTATTAATTTATATAATATTTAAGTGATATTTATTAATAAATCAGTGATTATGAAGATTTTTTGTTGTATCATTTTAAAGTTATAGTCCCAGATGAAGTAAAGAACGATGATGTTTTAAAGTTATAGACACGTCATCATCATCATCATCAGCCTATTAATGTCCCCACTGCGGGGGCACAGGCCTTCCCTATAGATGGAATAGGGAGATTGGGCCGTGACCCACCACGCGGGCCCAGTGCGAATTGGTGGGTGCTAACGACTGCAGATGCAGCCGGGACCAACGGCTTAACGTGCCTTCCGAAGCACGGAGGAGCTCGAGTTAGAAGATTTTTGGTCACCCAACCAATGATTGACCACTGCGAAAGTTGCATTACTTGCCATATGCAAGCTGAACAAGCTAACCACCTGTGTTGTAGAGCTCATATCCATAGACATCTTAGATATTTGAAATCCATAAAGCAATGTCTATGTCCACATTTTTTTATGTATAATTATTACTCAGATTTATGATTTTTTATAAAACTTGTAAGGCAAAGGGAGCTGATCTCAGACAGCCTATCCTCTTTTTTTGATGTACAATATCTTCAGTAGATTTTTTTTGTTACAATACAGACAGAATATATCAAGCGATAAGCTCAATTTATGCCGCGGCGGAATGTAATAGAAGCGATTTTTTGCAACGAAATTGTGGATATCGTAATGAGATTTATGTCAATGAGGGCTATCGCGTATGAATCCGCCGCTAGAGGCGCTAGTGTAGCGTGAGGTCTCCGAAATGTCAAATGTTATTGCTTGTTGGTTGACTACGCGGGTTTATTTCTTATTAAAATAATGTTGTGAATAATTGGTAACAATTCGGCTTAATTATGGCAAATATGGGGCAATGAATGTCAGTTATTAAAAATTTGAGCTTAGAAAAATTATTATGTTTCCATTTTTTCCGAATAAAACTGAACCCGGGCGTCACTGTGGCATGGCCTATTATGTTTAGGATATGGTTCTTTTGTGTTAAAATACGATCTAAATGTAACAAAGGTTACTATTTCATGTGCGTATTAATAAACTTTAAAAGTTCTTTCCTCTCTTGGTCCATCTCGCCTCTGAAATCAGAAATCAATATATCTTTATTCAAATTGGATGTATAGTACAACACTTTTGAATCGTCGAAACATTTTTTTCCCTACCACTCGTTATTGGACATATTTTTTAGCTGCGGAGAAAAACGAGCGAAAAAAACTCCACAACATTAAAAGCATAATGTAACAACATTTACAAATCATTATGTTGTTACAACGTCAATACAATCATGATTTATTTTAATATAGAAAACTTGTTGGAATGATTGGAACAGTTCAAACCCAAGCATTTTTGTCTGTAATATAATCGGACACTTTGTAATAAGCTTTTTTAAAAAGTGCTTTATTTTTACTATCTTCAGATTTATTTATGGTTAACTCTTGGGTATTGCTTGAGACTTTGTTGTATTAGCGAACACTTGCGATTCTGGCACTACTCTCCCAACCCAAAACCAAATCCAACATCACTATCTTCTTTTATCTGATCTCTCTCTATCTCTCGTCCACCACCAGGACGTTATAAGCTGGTGGTCGACCGCGTTGGTGGCGGGCCACCGATCACGTGGGCCGCCCGCCATGAAACACTGGCCGCCGGAAGGGTACGGCCAGAGTGCACTCAGATTCAGACTCAAAAAAAATGGTTGCCTGTAAAGTCGGTTTTACGGGCGAAGATTTTACGTGACAACGTCTTTTTCTCGGTAGAATATTTATTGATATGAATATAATTAAATTGCACAATAGGAACAAGGAATTGAATGAAAATAAGAATTGCACAAATTTTAACTATAGAAATATATATAATACGTCAAAAAAACATATTACAATGCATTGTGCTTGTGAATACCATCGTAGCATGCAACCACGCTACGACGATTCGTAGCAAACTTGCTACACGGCTACGGGGTTCCAGCATGCTACGAGACTCATCGTAACGTTACCGAGCGTTACACTTTTTCATAAGTGACTCCCAGCCGCAACCTAATTTAAGACGTTGTCACGTCAAAAACAAGCGCGAGAAATAAACAGTGTAGTTTAAGCAGGTTGCCTGCTGCCACTATGGCCACCCTGCTTAAACTACACTGTTTATTTCTCGCGCTTGTTTTCTGAGTCTGAATCTGAATCTGAGTGCACTCTGGGTGCTTACTCTTGAAACCAATCCCGATCGATCGACATTGGCATTGTGACGTTTCGTACTCTTGAGTTGCAACACTAGCGCCAAATTGGACTCATATTGCGCGGAGATTGGTTAAACTAAATGGCATTGAGTTTTACTTGAATCCGTACTCTTGACGCTATTTTGACAGCTGTAATTGCGATTGTATTGTGTTAAAATTGGATAGCGATTGAGATTTTTACAATAACAAAAAAGGTACTGTGTGTGTATTGAGTTCGATTATTTTAAGTTAAAACAAGCATTTTGTGTGAGATATGGCGCGATTAGCTCTTCCCTTCGTTATTTTACGTAATGCCCGAAGAAATGAACTCAAAATAAGAAGAAATGAGCGTCGTTTGGCGCGTTATATGGATAGGGCATTCTCCATGGGCGAAGAAGAATTTGTGGCAAATTACCGCGTCACAAAAGACTTATTTAATTTGATATAAGAAGAGCTGAGACCCTTCTTACCTGTTTCAAAGAGGAGAAGTGACATATCACCAAAATATAAAGTAAGTGCCTGATAGAAATTGTGTGATATAAACAATTAATGTTATTATTTGATTATGAACTAAGTTAACATAATAATATCAATGTTTTGTTGATATAACCTTATAATATGTCATTTAGATGATTGTTTAGAACAATGCATGTATGCATAAATTTTAAACTACATTCTCATTTTGCAGTTATTGGTAGCATTATCATTCTTTGCAACTGGTAGTTATCAATGGATAGTGAGTACACAATAATCTTATCCAATTTACTAAAAGACTTTTTTCTTTTCAGATTTTATGAAAAATTTGGAATCCTAAATTTGTCATAGGTGGCACACATGTTTGCCATAGTAAGACCCACTGAGAATGAAGAGAGGTTTCTCAATAGAAAACATTTTCACTCAAGGAATGTTATGATTGTAAGTCCTTAAACAAGGAGGGTTCATTAAATACTGGTGTCGATTCTGGCATGATTCTCTAAAGCTAAACTTAAATTTGACAGCAGTATATCCTTGTCATTCTCTATACAGAATGAAAAGGAGAGACTGATGTTAAATTTAGTTTTAAGTTTAGAGAATCACGCCAGAATTGGCACTACTATATTATATATATATTTTTTTGTTTATTTAAAAATGCCATTGCTTTTGTTATAGATCTGTGATGCTGATTTGAATATTCTGTCTGTTGATGCCTCTTTTGGTGGTGCGACACATGACAGTTTTGTTTGGCATCAGCACAGCATAAGGAGTCATTTGATTGCTTTAAATGATGTCTGAGAAAATGTTTTTTGTTAGGTAAGTCATACATAGTAATAGTATAAATTTCATATACCGAGGTAATAATATTTTAATAAAAATTATATTCTTAATGTACACAACTATAAATACAGACTAATCATGGAAACTAAAGTGTGAATTTATTATTTTTAGCTGATTCTGGATTTACTCAGATGGTGTATATGATGACTCCTATTGTGGGTGCTGCTGAAGGGTCTCCAAAAGAGTACTATACTAAAGTGCATTGTTCTGCTCGCAATGTTGTGGAATGTACTATTGGAGTACTAAAGAATAGATGGCGATGCTTATTAGGGCATAGGGTGCTTCATTATCATCCTAGTAAAGCATCCAAATTCATTAATGGATGTTGTGTGTTACACAATATCTGCCACCAGTCCCACAATTATTATCATATTGAGGATACTGAGATATTGGATGATGCTGAAATATTATACCAGCATCTCAAGAAGCTCATGGGACTGGTTCATCAGTTGCTGAACTCAGGAAAGGTATTGAAAAAAGAAATTCTTTGGTTCAGCAACTACGGTCAGCTTGTAGGTGATTTTAATAAAGGTTTTATCTGTAGTGTAAAATAAAACATAAATTTAAAGTTGATTTATAATGATCTAATTAAAGTGAGTTTCTAAATTAGTTATTAGATACGAGGTAAACCTGCATTATTTTTTGGGAAAAACTCACGGAGGTGAGATGTCTTTTTTGATAATTAATGAGATAGAAAATCAAAATTCTAATACATTATGTTAAAGTTGTTTTAGTAATCCTAAGCATAGTCTCAGAAGTACAACAACTACTTTACAATTTCAACTTGGATATATTTAAAAATTGTTATAATTTTATCTAACTTCCTTATTATATTTTGTGATAGTAATTTGTGTCATAATTATTATTTTTTTATTACAATCTTGTAAATAAAACTAATACTAATTATATATATTGTAAGTTACATTATTTGGTTGTTTTTATTTCAGTCTAATTAATATTGCTAATATTTTAATCTATGGTAAACTATCCCGTTTTACAGTCTTACAAGTAAAATAAACTTATACTCCAATTATTTACATTTTACATTCCAAATAATAATAATAATAATACCTAAAGCGAAAATACAATAACTAAACTTATTTTTTTCTTAATTTTGTAACCTATTACTTATTACCCCTAATGCATTTGCTACCCTTGTATGAGCCTCAGCTATGGGCAGCATTTGCGAGTCGGTCAAAACTTCTGCTGGTATTAGCAAAGGCCTCCGCAGTAAGCCTCTTAGCCTCTACGCGCCTTTCTTCTATGCATGCCATACGGTCCATCTCTGCATCAACACTTCTTGACAGCAATCGTTGTGACCGTCGACGAGAAGCATTTGTAGCGGAATCTTAAAACACAAATTTCATACTAAATAATTTGTTACTAATTCTTCAAAAAACAATTATAAAACACCACTTACAGATAAAAAAAGATCTGCATTTAACTCAACACTATCCTAACAAGTGGGTCTCCGTTGCTTTTTTTTGACATTCCAATCCAAAGACCTCTTAAGTTTTTATCAATGTGCTTGTACATTACTGAATTGAAGGAATGTCTGTTGTGGTTTTGAAAGAATTTATTGAGGAATTCAATATAGGTATAT